AGTCACCTAAATATATGATTTTGACAAATGAGTAAGCTATTTTCTCAGTATTATGGTAGCAGGTGAGCAAGTAGATTTTCTGCCTGTGCAGGCAAAGTTTGTGACAGTTTTTCAAGGTTAGGTTATAATTAAGCAGTAATTACTGGCAGGAAGGGTACCCCTGGCAGTTAAGGACTGGATGGATAACTTTAGACTGATTTAGTTGGTCACTAATTTCCAGATAATGCCCTACCCTAAGAATTTGATGGCTACTAAAGAGCCACTGAAAACGAAGTATTTACCTTCTTATATATTGAAAAATTAAGTTGGAGTGCATGCTGCCAGAGCTGTGGTATTCTCTTTACAGTGCTAGTCTTGATGTACCAGTATCCTCAACAGTTGGAAAACAGAACTTCTCTCTCAACAGTCCATTGGTTTATAATTTAAGAAACCTTGTCTTCATTTCTTTAAAACCCTCAGTTATAAAGGTATGGCTTAAAATATGTATAAAGCCTTCCACTTGTAGGTCACCATTTCCAAGCCAGCACAATTCCAAAATGACAAAATAGTTCAGCCTTTGTTGTATATCACCATCTGGGTATGTCTCATTTAATCATTTCCCTGCCATTGCAGATGCCTTAGGCACTAGTGCACCTTAGTGCCTGCTGTTCTCTGCCTATGGAACAATATCTAAGTCTCCTGAGGGCTGTAATACTGTGGTCTAATTCTGGTTGTTACATTGGGGGTAGGGGAGAGGAAAGGGTCAGGGTGTTTAGTGGCCTGTGATATACAGATGGTCAGAACAGATGATTTGGTGGCCTTAAACTCTGCCACTATGACATCAAATGTGTGCTCTCTTAATCCAGTTCCTTGTTTACAAGCAATCCCAGCCACATGGTACTACTGGGGCTCCTTTATTTGAAGTCTGCAGAGGTTTCCTCATATAGATGCTGAACTGCACCTGTCCCTGTGTGATGGTCTCACCACTTCAGACTTGAAAGCACCTTACTATGATGGTTATGGATAAGATTGTACAGCTGCTACCTGTTGTGAGGATAGACTGAGTGAGGCACCTTTCATAAACACTAAAAATCACTTAAGTATAAAAATACATTAAAAGATTAAGATTGCAAAATCAAGCACTTGAAAAATAGGAAATGGCAGAATTAAGGTTGCTTTTACAACCTTAATTCAGCCCTCTTGTGTGACTTCATTATGATAGGATCTTCTTGTGGTTACAGCAGTTGAATGTTACCCTGAAGAATTGAAGAAATGGAATTTTAAACTGTGTCCCTTTACATTCAGTTCTATGTTGATAATATCCACTTAAAAGCTAATCCTGCATTTCTTGTGGATTTAAAATGCCCAAGAATGCTTCATTTTGGGAGTGCAGGAACAGGCCCTTAATCAGCAAGATGATATCCATTTAGCATAAGATTATTCTAAGAAATCACTTCGTGTATGTTTTTCAGTTGCTTTTCATTATTGTAAAGTTCTGCAAGTGTACATAGCACTACATCCAATGGAGAAAGACAAAGGTCCCTAGTGCTGGGAACTTACAATTGGTGACAAATGACAAAATGCCAATACAAATATGAGATGAAGAATGGTTCAGGTGCCAGAGGGCATGGAGGAATGGAGGGTGGTGGGACTGACCTAGCAAAGCTTCAAGTGAGTATTAATAGAGTTACTCCAACCAGCTTATGGCGCAATTATTTTAGTTATGCTGCAAACAACTTAGATGCTAAAATGTTTTTCCTTTTGCTATAACAACAAAAATAGTACTTCTGGGTGTAGCTTTTTACTAGCAATTAAGCTGTGCTCAGGAAATTCTTTATCATTTCAGTATCTCTTCCCTTAAATAAAGGAAGCAATTGGAACCAGTTTTATCCTCTACAAATTACACTTATTTTAAACATATTGACCTTTTCGATAGTCTTTATAATACAGAAAAGGTGTTATATGTTCATCAATTTTTAGCAGGACAAACACTATGTAGTACAGTGTAAAAGACTTATTTGGTATCAAAACAGTTAAAGTCAGGTATACAGTTAGCATCAGATCCAATTGAGGTGATAGCCTCTTATTAGTATTCTTTTTTAAAAATTGCTTGTATGATTCTAATAATTTATTATTACAATGTACTACTTATCTTCTCTCACTATTTTGTAACCACATACCAGTTATATTCAAATAAATCCACTACATAGCGCTAGTATCTGATTTTAAAAAACAAAATTGAAACATGCTTGCATAATTAAATAGCTTTTGGAACCCTAAAACGTTATTAAAATGAATAAACACAGTACATACTTCCAAGTTCATTTCACCCTAGCTGATCTCACAGTATGATACAAAGCCCCTACTATACTTGTGAAAATTTAAAATAACTTTTTAATAAAAACCTTGGCTGTTTGTACTTTTTTTTTCCCATTCCACTATTGCTGATTACTGAACTGTGGAAATGCCTTCTTGCACAATAGTTGTCTGGCACAGTGTGAGTCTATTTGTCAGTGTCATAGACATCGGATGGGAGAAGACAACTAATTAGGGGTCTGATCTGGAGGTATGCTGAATACCCTAAATTCCAGTGAAAGCCCAGGGGAGCTGCTGATGCTCAGCACTTCTGAAAATCAGGCGGATTCCACGGCTCTGCAGCCAAAACGCTTCTGAAATAAATGTCGTCAAACTTTACTAATTCTGGGTCACTGAGAACGAAAATGATGCTTAAAATTGTTGATTGGCTCAAGTTTTCAAGATATGCTATTGGGTCAGCATATACGACCCTTGACTTGGGAATGGCGGAGGTAAGTGAGTTCTAAAGGGAAGGGATCTCAGTTTAAACCAGAAATGACTAAAATACAATTTTAACTGGATCTAGGAATAAATCTATGACTGCGTTTGGACAGTACTTGCTTTTTAGGCAAAACAATGAATGATGCAATCTGAAGCTGGTATTGCGTCATACATGATATGAATTGCATCATGTTATTCCTAGAAGTCATGGATGATGCAATCATAACAAAGTTTACATCACTCTGCTGAACAAATTGCCCTATATCAGTATAACCACTATGGTTAAGAAAGCCTATCACCTTTATTTTGG